CCTCGGGGGAAACCCTTTAAACTGCTGCCAGGTGGCCTGGTTCAAAGTGCTCCGTGACATTAAGACTTTGACCATTGAGGACCTCAGTAGCTTGACATGTCTCAGTGACTTTGGGGGACGCTCACTAGACACCATAACCTCAGACTATTGTGGAAGGAGTGAGGAGGAGCCCAGCTGGTTGTACGTCCTCCTCTTCCTCCCTGTGTTCCTCTCGCTTGTGGGCATTGGTGTCATATTCTTCCTCACCTTCAGGCCTAATCTCCTGCCCAGTGAGATTAAAAGGAGGTGTTGGAAGCCAACTCCGTACTAAGACTGAGCGACGAGTTACTCGCACAATTTAATGAGTAAATGGTCAGCAATCAGTAATAACGAAAAGGGGAATTAATGAATACTGATTTTGATCAATGCCATGTGTGAAAACTCCTTGTTGAAAACTGCCTTGTGAATAAGATTCTGTGAACTTTTCTGTAAGTTTACTTACAGCATCTGGATAGGGGGACCACCTAATCCATGTCAGGAGGGACACTATGAGCCATTTCAGGTTTTACATACTACTCCCATGCTCCAAAGCTTGGCTAAATTGTTTGGTTTGTCTTGTACTTTGACTGATTTGTTCCCTTGATTGAAAGACTCATCCAGCTGTTTTACATTAACATAAGTGAAACATGCATGATTATAGGAAACTGACCAATCAGCACACAGCAAGAACTCAGTGCTTAAATGAAATCTGGGTCCTTTTAACTGAAATGGTTGAAATGGTAGTTTACAAACCCTGTCGTAGCTCATAGTGTCCCCCCCGACATGGATTAGGTGATCACCCTACATCAGGAACATAACCTGAGAAACACTGAAAGGACTTATTGCTTGCGATAGTCTGTAAAATAACAGGAAGTGTATATTTTTACTCTCCTTCCCTACTTTATTCGTAGAAATAAAGCAGTTTTATGCAGAACAGAGTTTCATTCCCTGGTATCTAGTCGTGTGGTCTTGTGTACATGTATGAAACTGTGTATGTGACACTGTGTTTGCATGTAAGTGTGTTACATCAAAAGGTTCTTTGAAAGATTAACAGAAGCTACGTGGAATTTCCTTCTTTTGCCAAGCTGAACTGCAACTAGACAAAGAGTATCTTATAGGGAGTTTCATCCATGTAGTAAGGCCAAGTTTCTTTGCATGGAACAATCCCATTTTAATGCATTTAAATGTTTCTGCAGCCAGTTTACTGACTCCCTTAATTTCACATTCACCATTGGAGAAAGTCCTTCATCTTTGTCTAGGTCTAGGTCTAGGTCTAGGTCTAGGGCATAGGTCAGCAACCTTTTTAAAGTAAAGAGCCATTTTATCCTAAATGTCTGACCCAAGATTTACAAAGAGCCGCAAATGATAGAGAAGAGGGTTTAAGATACGATTTTTAATGCAACGTTTTTGTACATGCATTTAACACAAAAACAAAACTTCAAGTACTTAAAAAAAAATAAAGAAAAAAATTTGGGGGGGGCGGAGGGGACGCTCTCAGTTTCAAATCACTCGGCTACGTAACAGTGCAAAGGTTACTATTATCACAGTATCGTTCAGTTCTGTAGTGACAGTCTTCACCCTCACTCAAGCTCGTTTGGCTCTGCAGTTGTCAGCCCTTCATAAAAACCGACATGACTTCAGTGGAGCCCGCTGGCAGCTGAGGCTCTCCTGGTTGGCTGGCACGCAGCTGGGCATGCCACACTGTACTTGATGGGAATCTGCCAATGGCAGTCACACGCCAAAGGCCCTGCGCCCGGCTAGAGTTCTGAGAGAAGAGCGGAGAAGAACGTACGCCTGCAAACCAGAGCGTAACCAGAATACCACTGTGGTGACATTTTGGGTCGAGGCGGTTGGAACAGAAAAACACAGCGAGCAGAGCAGGGTTGAGGTGGACTCATTCCTGTTGGGCAGGATCCAGAGTTGTGCAAAATGCTGTCTTGGCTTTGTGGTTAAACCTCCTCTAACACAGGAAAAGATTTTGAAAGGAAGGTAAATGGGGACATGTAGCTATATAGTAAACAAAACCCCTTATTTCATTTATTTAGTAGATGCTTTTATTCAAAGTGACTTACATTATACTGAGAAAGCAGGGCTGGTCCCTGAAGACGTTATGGGTTAAGGACCTTTCCCAAGTGCTGCATTCCTCTGCTGACCCTGTGATATGAACATGCAACCTTCCAATCGCAGACGATCCTAACCTGCTAAGCCGCACAGCGCATAGCTTGCCGATCAAATATCACAAAGTTCACAATTTTATATGTCCGTAAACTCATCCTCAGCCTTGTTTTCTAACCATGCCTAATGAACAAAATCGGTTTGATAAAGTGAATGATCTTAAATAGTAGAGAAATAGGGACTTGGATTAGTAATACGGCCAGACTGATCCTTTAGTGAATAATGTATTTTAAGATGAATGTCAAATGTCAAAAAACGTTTTCAAAAGTGATAAATATGGTTGTGGGTTTGGGAGGGGGTGGGAAATGATGCATATTAAAACAATCAGAAATAGAATGCGGAGCTAGCTGTTCTAGAATGTGAGTAACCACCCAGAGGAACCACATCATCAACCGGCAATGCCCAGCCTAAGGCCAGCGTAGGCCCTGATCTGGTAGAATCCAGCTGCGTTTTAGGGAAGGAGGTGCACGTGAGTCTGAGTAAGGGGCTACGACCTCTGAGCAACAGGAACCATGTAAGAGAGCATATTTCCACTTAACTCTTGATGTGCCAGGGGCTGGCAGGAAACGCTACTTTAAAAATAATAAGTGCAAACTATAAGATCATTAAAGGATTGTTTCATAATTCTTGTCTGAATTGGAGGAATCTAAATTTAACAATCTAAATTAAATAAATTAAAAACTTAAAATTAAGAATCCTTTCATCATTATGTCTAAAAAAACTTTCCAATGTTAAAACTGATAAGACCAAAGACCAAAAAAATCATGACAGTAAACATAATTTAGAGTTTGAATTTTAACGAGCAAAGGTAATTTTTCTTCGTCCTTTAAAGTTTCAAGACAACACTCAAGATATAGCTCAAGATGTTAGACTGCCATCTGCTGGCAATGAGAGGAACGGTCACAGACCCAGGAAGTTAGGCCCGGGGGGGGGGTTACTTGCTTGTATGGTAATATCCTCCCAGTGAGCTATTCTATGTGCAACATTTTCTTTAATTATGTGGTACTTTTAGCAAATGCCCATGCCGTCAGTAAGGTCTCTGTCTCTGCACGTTCTCTTGCACATTCGTATTTAAACTTAGCACAGTCGCAGTTTTTCGCGGCAATTCTTGGCACATTTCGTGAACCACATTTAACATTCTTGCGACTATAATTTGTCACAACAGGTCGTGCATTCAACACAACAGAATGGCTAAGATGCAAAAGGCATCATTGCAGTGTTTCTCGATTGCTTTAGAGCATTTCTGAAATGACAATTAACATTTGCAAAACGACGTCGACGGTAATCCCCACACCGTAATGGCAGTTCTGCACAGCAGAACATCGTTTCTCATCGCTTCAAATGTTTTAGTACATATATATGCAAAATAATTTAATCATATATGCCATAAATTGCAGTGATACACCATTGTTGTGTTTTTGGTTCCCATATTACATGATTTTGTTGCCATTTTGTTGTACTTGTATTGCCCTTTTGCCGTTATTGTGTTACACAGTACTGTTTGACTATTTTGTTTGTTTGTTATTGTACTGTGTTTTCTGAAGATGTCACACGTGCATGCGAGTGCTTTCTCTTGCCAGTGAACTTTGCATACTGTGATGTAGTGCCTTGCAATGTTGAAACTGGGGTCTTTGACATGAATAAGTTTGCTAAAGAAAAATGATCTGTCAGTGACAATAAGGAAGTTGGAACCGACTAACATTCAGAGTTGTGGAGCTCAGGAGCATATACTTATATTGACATTTTAACAATATACCTAAGTATTTTGACTCTCATAGTTAAAACTTTTCATTTTGTTACACTGACAAATTCGTTGGTGGAATTATTTGATTTTGAGACATGAGTTAATTGTTTTGGGCGAGTTTCAGGCTTTTGCGGCTAAACCACAGCGTTGTGCTAAATGCATGAACTTCAGAAATGCGCTTATAGTCTTGAGGACGTTAAATATTTTTCCGGAAATGAGTCAAAGCAATTGAGAAAAACTGTTACCCAGAACAATTAAGAGTCTCTTTGTTTCAAAAACTAAAATTTTCATTGATGAATTAATCAGTGCCACTAAAATGAAAAGTGGCTTCATCATTTAAACTACAAATCAATATGCTTAGATATATTGTCAAAATGTCAGTGTATGTTTCTGAGCTCCAAAATGCTGAATGACGATCATTTCTTACTTCCTCATTATTACTGACTGATTATTATTCTTTAGCAAACTGATACTTATTCATGTCCAAGACATTGTTTCATTACAGTGCATTACAGTGTGTAAAATTCATAGAGAAGAAAAAGCACTAAAATGCACTTGTCTTCAGATCTTAACAGAAATGGTCTCAAGATGAAGTACAATAGCAACCAAAATGAGAGTCACGTACTGTGAGCTGAAAAACACAACAATGCCATATCACTGCAATTTATTTGCATGTATTCTTGAATCATTTCGAAAGTTTGGTGAACTGTTTTGCATGTAGTGGCTGACATGGTCATCACTTACATATATAGTGTTGTGTGTAAAATTATTTCACTGGGAAACTATACAATCCATTTTGACTACCAAGACTTAAGCCACTGAAATGATGCAAAATGAGGATAATTGTACGTTACCATTTGTATACATGTATTAAAACATTTGGGAATTTGCGTTAAGCAACGGGAAATGACATTCTGCCGTGCAGAGGTGACATTATGGTGTGAGAATTATATGTAGTATTTTGCAAATACTATTTGTCATTTGAGAAATGTGCCAAAGCTACGGAGAAAAACTGTAAACTGCACTGAAACACACACTCAAAAAAGGCAAAATCACAAATATATTTTAGCAGTATAAACATTTATTAAAATCACAATAACGCGACATCTAATGTACACTAGTGGCCAAAATTGTGGAAACACACTTCCAATTCTTAGAGATTACAGAACTGTATTCAAGGTACTCTAGTTAAATATTTAATCAAATATCGATGATTGGATGATTAAATAAGTAACTGGAGGAACAGTTGAATATAGCTTTGCAACCTCTAAAACCTGGAAGTGTTTTCAGAAATTTATGAAACAGAGTATTAACCATTGAAGTTCTTGGCACATATTACAGCAGGACTTATGATGTGTCAAACTGCACATCTCACCGAAAAGCCTCACTATTGCCTAGTAGTTCACGTGAAGCTTTACCTAAAGATCAGAGATGCAGTGATCATCCTCCTCCAAACTGGTTCATGTTCACTTGTAAGGCGATACACCCCCCCTCGTGTGCCTGCTCGCACACCCCCACCCTCTGGTGCCTTGCATTGCTTAACACTGTTATAATTCGGCTAAGATTCATCCATTGCTAAGTCTTCTGTTTGAAAAGCAGAAGGCATTAAGGGTTACGGTCTACTATTAACTGTACAAAAGGTGACTGCTGTGCATTCTTTTGTCACATGACATAATCCTTTTGTTACATGATGTCATTCTTTTGTCATCAGATATTGGCGCCAGCTAGTCATACTGTAGCATCATAGCTGGTGCGCTTCGTGTTAGCTAACAGCATAGTTATAGGGTCAGCAGCAGGGGGCGCTGCGGCTCGCGGTCTGTTAAGACGAGGGCCACCTCGTCCTGCCGCCTCCTGAACTCCACCTCCAGGTCAGGAAGCTGGACTGGGCCCCGTCTGGGGAGAGGGGGCCGAGGATGGTGGTGGGAGATGTGTGGGGTGGGCAGCCGGCTCCGGGAGGGGGGGCAGGGTGGCATCGGTCACTGGGCACGATGACAGCCGCTTGTCACTGGAAACAACACTGGGTTGGACACTAGGGCAGAGGAAAACATACCAGGCATGCAGTCCTGTGTGAAAGTCGCAGGCAGGCTAAGAAAATGATGTTTAAATGACCTTCATATTGGTGTAAAACTATCATATTATGCCTGTCAAAGTCTGTTAGCTTTGCCATTTCAAAACCTTTGCTAAAGTCACCTCAACATCTTCAGCAATCATCCAACACACTCACATATTTTTTCAAACAGCAGCACCTTGCATAGCTAATCACTACCTCATTGACTTTTTTTTTTTTTAAACAAATGAAGTTAATTCAGTGAGTTGGTGGTGAAACGTAACAAATACATGGAATGGCTGAGGTGGCCCTCAGGAGATGTTTGGGAACCAAAGCGACGTTCATCTAGCCATCCAACAAGGCATCAGTAACTTTTTTGCAGGAGAGGATATTTTCCTGTTAGTTTTTATTGTTACTGTTAATCTGCATATGTTCTAATGTTAAATTGTGTTTTTTGTTCTGGGCAAATACACACTGACTAGCCAGGTAAAGAGCTTTAAGCATTTCCTATGACTGCCTAAGACATTTTCACTGTGCTGTATAACTGGGAACCAGAGTATCTGAGGCCTGTGTCCAGTGTGAGATACATCCCAGAATGCACCCATGTACAGGGGGGTCAAAGGGCTATAGTCCCTCCTAAAATATTATTTACCCCCCTCCCCACCAAATAAATATACACAAAATAGTTTAGTGTGTCTCATTCAGTCATTAGTCATAAAAATCAGACCCCCCCTCGTAAAGCCCCCCCCTTTATGACCTACTTACCTTCCCAGCTGTTTCTTGATGTCCACCATGTACTGATGGCACTGAGCGTAATATGCAGTCTGGGCTTCCACAAAGTCCTTAAGGCAGGAGAGATGGTTTTCCTGCATCGGGGGGGGGTTCTTTAGTGTACAGTGAGGCTACACTGAGCCACAGCGGGCCTCACAAAGACGGGGGGGAGGGGGGGGCTGCTTACTTGGGTGCTACTGATGCCTTCCAGCAGGAGTCTGGTGATTTCTGCCTGCCGATCGAAATCGTCCTGCGTCTTCCTCAGCTGGGCCTCGGCCTAAGGAGGGAACGAGCACGGCCGTCAAACTGAGCATGCTCAGAACCACTGCAGCTTATGGACACTGGATGCAGTGATGGATAAACTAACAAAATGATATTTAATGGGCTAAAATACTGTTTCCCAAATCCGGTCCTTGGAGACCTACAACAGTCTATGTTTTTGATCATGCTGGGAGCGAGCAAAAACGTGTACTGTCTGGCAGAGAGCAGGGAGGGAGTAAAAGCGTGGACTGGCTGCGGGTCCCCGAGCACTGGATTTGGGAGACACTGGGCTAAAATATATTTAATGGGTCTGAGCCAAAAACAAAAACCAGCCTTTTAGGAACCGATTCTAACATTTCTGGACTGAAAGAACAGAATGAGCAGTTTGACGTTCATATTCCAGCAGGATTGCATATGTTTTTCTAATGAATGAGGAACTGTACAGCATCAATAATATGCAGTGGGTATGACAGTTAGCAATTGTAAAGCTATTACGAAAATAACAGTCGCAGCAGGCTAAACTGTCACAGGGCACATTTCGCAAGTAGGGCCAAAAGCTGACCGAGCTACACTGATTAAGCAGATATGTGTACCTCACGGTGGCACAGTACAGGGCGCCCTTAGTGACGCTGTGAGCACTGCCCCCTGCTGGAGGTACCCGGTAATTGTGGGAGAGCCCCTTGTGAGACTCTAATCCATGCCTGTTAGTCTTGCTACTGTTTGCCTGTTCTTTTTTGCCAGGATCAAACTTACCTGTACCACTTCTGCAGTCCACATCTGGTTTGCATTTTTAAAAAATAGCAACGCACTGGTTAGGACAATGGATGGTAAAACTGCAATACACAGAGAATCAGTATAGTTATGAGTCAGTTTTATCAATACAGGTAGAATATAGAGAAGGGATAGGATGCAGACACTGAAACAATGTATAGTGTATAATGCAGAAAAACCTTCAAAGGCAGAGAATTATGAGCCCCGACAGGCATCATGCTTTTGCCAAACTAAATCTGATAAGAAATGAGGTAGCAGGCAGGATTTCAGATCTTGCATATTTTCATGTATCTCGTTGCTTCAGCACCACTGGTGAATAATTGTATGATGATCACCTGTATGAACTGAACATAAATGGTAGCCGCCTTGATAGATAGATAGATAGATAGATAGATAGATAGTGGAGGTGTGGAGTATGTGACAGGGATAACTGACCTTCATCCATTTTACGTGCAGAAAGCTGAACATGTAGGAGAACTGCGCTCTTGCCTCCTCTCTAGGCGGGGGGGCGGAGTTTAGCCGCTGACATGGAAGAGAACAGACCATGACGGGACACGACAGGCACACGCACCACAAAACCCTGCAGGTGGTTAAAAACCGACTGTCTACAGAGCAAAAGCAGACAGAGCGGGGGCCTTTATTAAAATTGATTTCCATCCATTACTATCAAATACGTAGCTCAGAAACTGCTTCGCCTTATACACCTTGGAATCCGATATATCCTGGATAAGAGCCACCAGCTAGCGTCTCGGAGATGTCAGGATGAAGGAGTCGCCGCGGAGAGTGGCTTTAAAAGCCGGTAACAATGCTTTAATAATTCACTCACTCCAGAGGTCTCGTCTGAAGCAGGATTTTGCAGATACGCGGCAGACTTTCTGTGCCGGCTGCGTGGGAGTGAGCGATCTCCAATTGGCACAGAGCTCCCCTTAATTAGAATGACAGGCCTGTCAGGCTATGGCAGTGATACTCAACCCGCGGCTCTACAAAGGACAGATGCGGCTCTTTTAAGTCCTACTTAAGAGAAAAGTCTTTTAAAAATCTTCAAAAGACAATGAAGAAAAACACTGTCAGCAGAATTCATTTCACGCTCATTTGCGCACATCAATCTGTAAGTTACTGTAACGCCCCCACCCCTCAACTGCCTGAAAAAGACAATCGCAATTCACCTCAGGTGTCATGCTAGGATGAATTTACATTAACACCGGGAAACTAGCATTTGGCAAAAATGGCGTATGAGATGCAAATATGAAGAGGAATACAGGGTATTTCGGCAGGAATGAGAGTCTTTGTGTCGAACGGTCCAGGAAAATGCTTTATGATAACGTCATTTCACAGCTTAAAAGATCCAATTTACAGCACCATCACGAAACTAAACACCCAATGATCAGTCTGCTGTCTGTTATGGGCTGTGAAAAATAGCAATGTGTTGTCTGTTGCTGTTATGGACTCTGTGATCAGCACTTGGAAATCATTTAATACTGATAATGTTGAAACACTGCCAGTAATGTTAAAAACCATGGTTGCAGTGATAATAATTACGTCATGCTTTTCACCCCTTAAGACCATATATTATCCTTATTCTTAAACACATAATGGGTTCAGGAAAGGGAGGATTGCAGCTCTTTTTGTCAATGTGGCTCCTGAATAGGGCAAGGTTGAGTCCCACTGGTCTATGGGTAGGGTGTAAATGAATTCTGCTGCTAATCAATCATCTCCCCTCCATTGTGGGATGATCGGGGCGGGGGATCTAGAAACCCATCTGGATGCTAAACAGGTAGCATTGGTGGTGTGTGAGTAGAATGCTACATCAGAAGGTCGTAGGTTCAAATCCTGTACTTGGCAGAGTGATGTCATGCATGACTGTGGAATTCAAACCCACAACCTTTGCAATGCTGCTGCTCTACTTGTCCAGCTACAGGAGAGTGAGACCTACGGCGTGGTGGGCGTCCGCTATCTGGGCTCGCTTCAGGCGGGTTTTGGCAGCATCCAGGTCCAGCCTCCTGTTCTCCAGCAGCCTCCCTTCTTTCTGGCAGAATGAACAGATTCATCACAAAAAGGGCCCCCCGCTGTGACGTATGTCCTCCTAAATACAGACGTAAGTAATCCGTTCCACAAACCCCAACGTGAGTCAAACTTTACGCACATCAGATTCACCACCCCAAGCCATTCAAGACACCTCATGCAAAAAAAACATATAAGTTAAAAAATGTATCAGTAATGCGTACTAATTAAAGAACACATATTAAATGTATGAAAAGATGAAAATTTACCTACAGGCGGATGTCTCCTTTTGGCAATAGTGCTTCTGCAAACTTTGTGCTTCTTGGGAATTTTTTGCGTAAGTTCAGATCTAGTTAAGTAGGTTTTCCATAAGTCGAGGCCTATTTTATAACGTCTTGTCAAAATGTGCTTATAGTTTTGGTGGATAAAGCAGATCATCAGTCTAAGATAGATTCTACCTCTAAAATGCCTTTTACATGTTCATATTCTGCATGTTGGTCTGAAGTGGTACCATGTATTTTTATCTATTGCTTAACATTGTGGTTATTGTCTTATGTACTAGATAATCTGAAGGTGACACATAAACAGTTCTTTGTACTAGACAGACGATAACATCTAATGAGTCTAGAGCATTTTATCAGTGACTGACTGCTACTAGCGGCCTGAACTGACTGCTTTGTTTTATGTCTCCCGTGGCAGCTGACTGCAGGCCAAAACGTCAATGTTCTCCTTCAACTCACCAAGACAGTTTTTGAGTCCCATTCAATGAAGTTTCTCAGGGGGGTGAGGAAGCCGACAGTCACGCCCTGAATTAACTTCCTCTGTGTTCCGCCGATCTGCTTCTCCATCTCCCCGCATTTTATCAGTACCTTTCCTGCAAGTGGTGAAACCAAGAGTCTTCTGTCATAATTCACATGAAATGGCAGCCACTTCGGAAGGTTATTAATGCACCTAATAATAAACTGAATGTTTTTAGGTGATCACTGGTTTGTTTTTAAGGCACACAGCTGTCGGAAACTTGCTACTTAAAATCTGCATGAAGACGGGTGGCATTCAGACATAATAATGAAATTTCCCAGTCAAATTGATGGACAAAACACCCCTAACATTCCTCAGAACTGGCACATCACTGCCTGGTTCCATAATCTCATTTGATTTCAATTTCTCAATTTTCAATGTCCCAATTCTGGAAACACTATTCTGTTTCGTAACGTGTTATATGTTAGTTACATGAATATTGTTCATATTAATTGTATTCATTCATTTTTTCTATTCTCTGCAGGATATTTAATGAGTTCTCCCTTGTCTAAGTCTCACAATCGATGTAATCGTTGCCATTTTTGGCTGTCCCACAGCTCAGGGGGCCTGCTTGGGCACTGACAGTCCAGCACTCACCGTACGCAGTCCCAGGGCCTAACTCGTGGCCCGCGTCGATCATGCACTCGCCCAGCTGCTCGTGGTTGCTTGTGTGCCTCGGGGCTTCCCTCTCCAGCATTTCGTATAAAAGTCCCTCCATTCTCAGCCCTGGAGCAAGAGATAGCCAGGCTGATCGCAAGAAGCATGAGAGGCCTGGCGCCAGGGGCAGATTTACGAACCCGGGTGCCGTAGGCTGAGATCAGCATGGACACTCAGGTATTGCTGATTTACCGGACAGTTACGTTTTTCCCTAGGCGGGGCGGAGCCCTGCTGTTTGCTGGGGCCCTAGGCTACAGCTTAGGATAGCCTGTACAATAATCTCCCCTGCCTTCCACAGCAAAGCGACTCTGCACACTGCCGTGACCTGGTAGTGCTGGAGAATCTCCCCTTAAGGGCTGAGATGTACTTGTTTTCACAGCATTATTGAAAATCTATCATCCATCTATCCTGGTAGCATGTGGCTCAGCGGGCTAAGCCTCTGGTCCTGCGATCAGAAGGTTGCTGGTTTGGGCCCGGCCTCAGTAGAACAGCCACATATCCGTGGGCCCTTGAGCAAGGCCCTTAACCCCCAGCTCCATGGGCGCCACTGCAGGTAGCTCGTACTCTCACCTACAAATGTGTCATGGCAAGCAAGATGGGGCGGGCAAAAAGAGAATTTCCCCACAGGGATCAATAATGTATCATTAGAATATTTATTTACTAGCATATTGTTAGTTGCTCTTGTGCCCCATGTGTCTGAATGAGTAAGTACCCGAATGTGCTTGTTGTAGAATCCTCAATAAAACATCTTGAATCTTGATTATTGTTATGTACCACTCAGTTCTGGAAATGACAGACCAGTTGTGGATATAGAATAAAAACAAACTAATTTCTTTTTTGCTCCTCTGTTGGACACTTGAGGTTTCCTGTTCCTAGTTTGTTTTCATTCATTTTAGCTATCCCTTGCATATTTTGTACCATGACACGGCAAATACTAACAAATCATATGCATTTTTTATATAATCGATATTGAAATTAGCGTGAATAGCGGAGTTTTTTTTCTTCTTTTTTTGGTAGTCTCTTACTGTACAACGAAACACCCCGACCTCCTCCCCGGGGAAAAAATACTGAGTCATAGCAACATTGACTTTGTATTAAATTTCAGCATGTTGTAGTACATGTGAAAATACGGTACAATTTATTCCTCACCGTAATATCGAATCAATGTCCATCAAAGATGGTACTATAGCTGATCTCAATAAACCTGTAGCCTTCAGATCATAACCCAATAACCTTATCCATGATGGCTCCTCTTATACATATTTAAAGAAAAAAAACTGTACATAGAATCCCCATGAATTTTACCAGTGTTCTTTCCCCCTAGACTGTGCTAAAGTAATTGCTTTCGTTTCTTACCCGGATTGGGCTGAAGTACCACCTCAGTCTGCTTTATTAACCTCTCCGTCCACCGCCTGCGGGTGTCTGCCTTGGTCAGGAGATTGTCCAAGCGCACGTCCAGCTCGGTTTTTTCCGCCTGTCCCAGTTTTTCCTCGGCGAACTGAAATCGCCATAGATTAATATGTTTATTAACATTTTATATTACCCCAGGATAAAGACCTTCAATTTCGCAGTCGGCAAATTTTGATGTTTCCCTTTCAGGCTTTTGTACCACAGATCTATGTGCGATAACTCTTATCTATCTTGCTGTTTTAACTATTAAACATTTAACATTTGATATTGCTTGATAGCCTGCTGACCCGATATAGCTCGACATAAAAAATGACACCTTCCTATTTCATATGATACATGATTACATGAATAGACACCGTGCTGTTCGGTTAATGCATTTCGCAAAACGCAGATCACTGAGTATTTATCATTAAAGTAAAACGAGGTGTAATTCGGGTGTAATGCTTACGTCCCTACACTCCTGTGTCTGGAGGATTCTATGCTGTAAAATCCGACTAGTGGAGCAAGAGGGAAACATGGCACCGAGTTATCCCGCCTGTCAAGTCGGCTTGTAGCGCTTACTATAGGTGGCAGCTTGTTTGATATAGGCTATCTAGTAATACGTAGGGCGCAATCGGCATGGGATTTATTCGCAATAAATTCTATACCTGCACGGCGCGACTGAGGAAAGTGCCGGCGTCGGAGGCGAGTCTTTTAACGCTGAAGTCCATGTCGAGCTACGTAGCTGGCCGCACTTGCAAAAAAAAAACGCGTGCTGTTTTGGTGATCCGCGCAGTTTGGTATTTAGACGGCGAAAGTGTTTATTGCGATCAGGCAGAGCGTTCTAGGAAAGACGACATCGGCCACGCGTCTGGAGGTGACATTGGAGGGTCATGTGGGAATTACAGTAATTCCTGCAGCTGCGTGTCTGTCTGCTGTGAATCGGAAGATGCCCCCGTCTCGCCAAGCATGGGCTTTCAGTATTATTATCAGGTTTATTTCTAGCACATGCACGTTGAGTTCCGGAATATACGGGATTCGTGAACATTTTCTTTCCATTTAATTTATCAATATTACATTTGAACGTCTGTTGACAGATTGGCAGCTCTATGCAAATAACTGGTTACAATTTACTGAACTAGATCAAATGAACTATATTATCAGAATTAGCCAACAGACAATTGATTATGAGAACACCATCGACTAATACTGTAATCTAGGTATTTTTTGACTTCATAAAAATCATCTTAATTCACCTTTAATCTGAAAATCAGCGTTACCTATTATTATTATTATTTTATTATTATTAGTATTATGGTACTTAATAGATGCGTATATTCTAACTGCTCAAAATACAGGGTGAACTAACAATATTACTGGAGTTATTAATTAAAAAAATTGAACTCACCCTGTAATTTTGTGTTGCGTCCACCAGATGACGCCATATTAACTTGTTAATGTTGCGCTTACATTCAAAAGAAGACGCTTGAAGCTGCTATTTCTTGAAGGAAACAACGGAAGTCTGGGTCAGAAGTCTGTTTTATTTTGTGGAAGTTTATTCAGACACCCTAAAAATGTTACTCAAAGACGAAAATAGTACGATACAGCCAGTGTAGTTTGCCTGCAAGTCTTACAATAACTTAAAAACGAAACTTATTATTCTCCAAGAAATACTCTCCGCAAAAACAGAATCCGCTCTGTTAGGAGCTACTCTAAAAGTGAAAAGCAGGCTTTGAATTTTTTTTATTGTTTTAATGCAATGTCAGGCTGATAATAAATATCTTGCACTGCTATAATGAAAGAAAAGAAGCACACTTCCAGTTTGAGGGCAAAATTGGAATTTCCTGCACCCTTTACTGCCTAAATTCTGATTGTAATCTGAGGTGTGTCAAAGAGATTATGTGCCCTGTGTCACAGCACTGTGACATGATCTGGCGGTTGAAGTACGTTACTGAGTCTGGCAAAGACAGAAGCCCAGGGGATCACAGGAAACCAGTAGCAGGAAGCCGTCACGTTGTTAGGACCCTGCAAAACAACACATTAATATAGAAAATATGGTCTATAAAACCACTAAATTGACATGTTTCCCCATGGGGTGGTAAGATATTGGTCATGCAAGTTTGAATTGTGGGTACCTGTTTAATAATCTAAAATGTTACACATAGTTATGGGGAGGGGTGCAGGAGTGTGGGGGTCGTTAGGATGATTCCAAGGGCCCAATTTAATATGCTTTCATGCACCAAAAAATGTCTAACAGGACCACCAGTAAGGGGATTCATAAAACTGGAGCAGAAGTATGTGTGATGTTACTGCAAGGCTTTCAGATCTTGGGTGAAATACTGCCGTTGCACCTTTATTTAAAGTTTGTAACCATATTTACTTTCAGAAATCACCCATGTGTCTAAATAAGCAGTGTGTAAACCCGGTGTAGCAAGTGTGCAACTTTTTTAAAGCACCAGCACTTAGGTGTATTTCTGTTATGACTTGGATGGGGTGAGGTGTGAGAAACAGACTTTGGTGTGAGAGTGAGAGAGCGCTTACTGGTAGCCTGTGGGAGCTGACCCACCCACAAACTCATAAACATCACAAAACAAGCCTGCCTGTTGAAACTTGGTTAATGGAATACAAACCTCACACAAGGAAGTCTCTACAGTAAAATCATGTCCATTAGACTACAGCCCACTTCCTCTTTCAAAAAATGTGTGTCTAGGAATCACTGCTTGCATCTTAGTTACTAAAAGACGTACTTACTTCTGTTTTCTAGAGTTAAGCCGGAAGGTCTTTGGTATGTTCTAGTAAGCAGGATGTGTAAGGATCTTGATCTTCCAGAACTGGATAATTCCCTAAAGAGTTCTAAAGAAGTAAATTTGCCAACTGTGGCAAAAATTTAAACATATCATCTGGCTAACGTGCAAAACACATCGTAATTAGCCTAAACTGGAACATTGCTTTTTTTGCTGGACAAAAGAAATGTTTTGCGAGATCTTTGTTTTCTACCGTGTGAATGATGTGATGTGATGATGTTAACTCAGAGTCAGGAACCTAAGCCCTCACACAGTGCACGATGGACCTCCTGGTAGCAGCGTGCTGTTGATGTCCCAGGTGACCTGATTCTAGTTTGGTAACTGTCAGCACCCCCTGTGCTCTGCTTGGAACGCACCAGGCCAACCTGGCTGTTTTTTTGTTTTGTTTTAGAGGCAATGCTGAACTGAAAAGAAGCACCGTCACAAGCTTTGATGCTTACCGAGTGAACAGACATATGCATCTGCTAAATCTGAGCACATTAGGGACAGAGAAAGATCAAAAGACAGAAGTAAGTTCCCAGAACAATGTGCACATGTTGGCTGGCAGTAATGTTGCTATGTCATGGAAACAGAGCTGATTCTGCTAACGGTGCATGTTCTGGGAGGTCATTAGCACTGCCTCGTGGTTGGGAACCCTCTACGAATGTAATCCTAGGGATCCTTTAACATGGTCATCCTTGCTTGGTGTGTGTGCCGTGGAATAGGAATATTTATTTAAATTTTGCAGTCAAATATTTTTTGTTTGTTTGTTTTATATTTAACCTCATAGAAAAGCCAATATTACAAAAAATAAATTATTTCCACTCAAAGATACAAATTTCTGTCTCGGCAGATGAATACATGGACTGGAAGGAGATTTGGCTCTGTCTTATAGGAACAGTACCCAGTCCACTTTCTGGGGTTTCTTGCTGGGTGGGTCAGTGAGCCAGTCCCTTAATGTGTCCTGGGTTTCTGGGTCATGGCCATACAGAATGTGATGTTCAGACCACCTGGAAATCGAGAGCAGATGCCTATTGAAACTACACTTCAAACAGTAAACAAGAAACAGCACAACATCTATGTAGCTAACGACATGAGCTATCAGTGGCAGGGTTCCCCAGTGCTACGCCATCTGTATGCCGCATCAGTAGGGCTTCCAGCTCTCACGCATCTGGCATGACACTCACGCTTTCAGACTCTCACACTCATGCAAGACATCTTAAGGCAAATCTATATTATTCCATTATAAACCTAAGATTAGCTACATCAAAAAGATTTGGGGCAGTTTGCAAACCCTACAAGGTTATAAAACTCTTAGATACATGTAAATGCCTGTACAGACTTGAATTTAAAATCTCACTCCAACATGCAGTTGACCAAAGTTGGCAGCCCTTCATCAATGTGATTACAGCTTTGATATTGTCATTGTCTCCCCTGGTTGTTAGAAAGGCTGCTGTGGGAACGTGGTTATTTAGTTAGCTTTCCCACCCGGTCATTGTAGATTGGCACAACGGTAGCGAAATGTTAATGCGCCTGCACTTAGTTTATTTATCTGATGTTGTGCGTCAATGAATATAATGTAAGTACTGTAATTGTAATTTCTTTTTATGTTGTTTGTACTGTGTTTTCTTTTTATGTTGTTTGTAAGACCGCAACTGCCTTATATTTTCATTGTACAGCGCTATGTTTATTTACCTTTTTGGGGGCTGTATGGTAGCGCGTTCGCTTTGTCTATAAAACCAAAAATGCGCCAATTCTCCGTCACATCATGGACGAGGAAAAATTAATTTTGGAGGTGGAGAAACACGGAATTGTGTACGACCCCAGACATCCTTTTTACAAGGATAATAGTAGAAAGGAGAAGGCGTGGAGTGAAACTTCAGAAGTTTTGGGATTTGACGATAAGTTGAATCTTCCAATTAACTATGTATATACTTGATTTTTAATGAAAGTAACCTGTAGGCCTACTGTGAAGTACTTGTAAACTCCTAATAAAGTGTTCAGTAACCTATATGGGAGTGACACATTATTTTATCCATAGAAACATAGATACATGTTATGTTAAATGTTATTCTCCGGTGGTCATGTGATCTCGCAAACCAGCTGCGCGCCGGATCAGATACGGACCACAAACGCATCCAGTGTGAATTGGCGGACGGCCTCGGACGGAATGGGAACGCAGCGCATTCGCACCGCAGCGGATACGCATCCAGTGTAAATCAGGGGTCAAAAATAGACTTGATGCGCATCTCGACGGACTGCCGGACGCGTGACGGAACGCAGCGGATCTGGTGTAAACTGATGCATTGACTTTATTGGCGGCGATTGCCTGCGGCTGCCGTGTCGGAAACGCACCGCAGCGGATACGCATCCAGTGTAAATCAGGGGTTAATCAGGGGTTACGAACGAGTTACGTTCTGAACGGCCATTCGTAACTTGAAATGTTCGTAAGTTGTTATTCAAGATCATTTTAAGGGTATACGCAAGTACAAATAACTAGGATGCTGAGAGTACACAATCCACGCTGCTGCGCTGTGGGAGTAGCGGCCAGAAGTCGCACTAGGTGGAAATGATGCGCAGGAAAAAAAAATTATGTTGCGGACAGGAAACGGGAGCCCAACGAACACAATTTGGACTTAGAGTCCTCTTCATTCGTATGTCTGAAAGTTCGTAAGTTAACTTAAAAGAACAGAAACCGTTAAACTTACGAAATCACAAATCAATCTGCCGGCACCGGCTAATGGCAGTCCTTGAAAATTTTTGTGATGCAAGCCGGTTCGTTAACATGAAAAGACTGGGAAACACTGTGCTAGCGTATCATCAATTTCGTTAAAAAAAATTTCAACTGACACACCTGTCTTTGGACAGCTGCTTGGTCCTCATACAAGCAGAGCGGTTTGTGTGGAGGTGTTGGGGGGGAAATGAGTAGGTGGTGAGTCACCCGCAAGGAAAACCCACTGCAGTTGATGAGCATTGATAAGCTAGAAAATGGCTGCTGGCTTTTTAAAACTTTGAAAGCATCATTCTTGCCATCGTTATCAATGTGCATCAAATAAAATGTCACGATATTTATGTGTGAAGATTTTGTTGTATTCTGTGCAATGACACTAAAGGAATTCTACTGTATTTTTTACCTGAAAAACACACATTCCTGAGTATTTTTTACA